CCGACACAGCAAGCTCCTGAATTGTGTTTCTATCAATGCTTTTGTATCGACCTGTGAAAAACCTTTCTGATAACTTTGTCCCTGAGAGAAAGGTGACAGCATTAGAGGGAGCTTGTACTGAGCATGTGCTTACAGGTGTTTTGATGTTTAGGGAGGTTGTTCATGCTTTACATCTCTTGTCTTTTCTTAGAAAGAGGAAAACTTTTCCTGGGCCTGTGTGCAAGCAGAGCTGTAAGGAGAGCAGGTGGGAGATGGTGCCATGGGGCTGGAACATCCAGCTGCAGAGCTCAAAGTCTACTGCAAGAAGGGGGATGTCAGTCCAAGATGGGCCATGTCAGAACTGGTGAATCTGGGGGGTAAGGAGCAAGGTTGGTCATACAGGGTCAGTCTGGATCTCCTGAGGAGAAACTCAGCATCAAGATCACTTGGAGAACACCTCTATCACCTCTCCTCTGAACTGAAAAATATCCACCCTTGAATTAAAAAAAAAAAAGTAAATACTTTGAAGACTCATTTTGAAATTGCTACTAATCTCTTTGGCCCCTTGTCTTTGTGTCCAAATCCTTTGCACGCTGACCCTCTTGCATCCCAAGGTTCTGTGTAAATCACTTCCTTTCATAGATCATTATATTTTTGTGACTTCCACTTTAAAATCTTCCTCCTTAGCTAAACTACAAAACAACTCCAATTAGTCATTTAAGAATTGAAAACATGAAAATAAGTAAAGGAAAGAAAATAATTTGTTTGTCTGTATTTTAATGAGCCCCACAGTGTGTTTAGAGACAAGTCCATCATCCTCAAATATAGAGAGAAGACTGAAGAAGCTGCTCAAGAAGTCAGAAGCCAAAGCACAAGTCCCTTGAAGCATTGCTGGACCCCACTGAGGGCAGGCACTGACAAAGCCTCCCCAGGGACTCCTTCGAGCAGATCCTTGCAGGCCAGGAGTGCAGGCAGACAAAGGAAAGTTGCTGGTGGTGGCCTGAGGGGCAGAGGCAGCTGCCAGAGCCAAGGGCACAAAGGCCTGGGTGCCTTTGGGCCTTGCAGCCCTGCCAGAGCCCTTGGCCGTCTCTGCTGCAGGCTGTGCTCCCCTGGCCCTGCTGCTCCTCTGGCCTTGCAGGCTGCACACACCCCTCCTGCTTTCCCACCCCCTCCCAGCAGCATTTCTGGGCCCTCCCTGATGGCTCTGCTGTCCCCCAGCTCTGGCTGCTGCCATGTGCACTTGGCCTTCTTGGCTTGGATGCTGAGCCCCTGTGCCCCAGGACATCCCTGAGAGAGCCCAGGCCCTTCTGCTGGGGGTCCCTGCAGAGCTGAGCAGATCCAGGTCACCTCCCATTGCTCTGCCAACCCCTTGGGCCTGCTCTGGGCCCTGCAGGTCCTTGCCCTGCTCCCAAGGGCTGTGGGGGTGCTTCATGGTCAGGCCTTGGGCTTTAGAGCTCAGGGTGGGGATTGGGCAGAATTTTGGGAGGTTTGTTGTTCTGCTGGCAGGGTCTGGTTCATCATTAGGGTGTTGGGCTGGATCAGGATAAAAGCTTGACTTTTCAGACTATAAATGCAGGTGTGGGATTGAGGTCAGCATTAGAATACAAAGAAGAGTCTGATACTCTGTGTTTGGGCTTCTTATGGCTTGAATTAGATCAGTGGATTCCCTTCAATGGGAGGGGCAGCACTTTTGGGTAGTGTTGGGGCTTGAGGTTACAAAGTGCATAAAGATCTCATCAAGAGTGTTTGCACAGTCAGTGTTTCAGCACCCTCAGCATTACCTGAACCTGATTTTACCTCATCACAGTCTTTCCTCTCTGTTGGCCAAGCCCCTCTTTCCTTCCCCAATTATCTTATCCCTTTTGTCCCACTTCCTCTTAACCTCCTAAACTCTTCCATCAGGATGGGCTCAGCTTTGTGCTGATGCTTTGCAACCTCATGGAATCAAGGATCCCGTGGGAAACTGCAGAACCTCCTGGAATTCCAGGGCCATTGTGACCCTGGGGAAACCCATGGAATCAAGAGGCCACTGGGACACTGCAGGGCCCCCTGGAGCCAAAGGAACCCAGGGACAGTGGGCAACCTCCTGAAATAAAGGGGCCATTGTGACACTGCAGAAACACCTGGAACCAGGAGGTCATTGTGGCACTGTAGGGCCCCCTGGAAACAAAGGAACACAGGAACACTGAGATGTGGGGAACCAAGGGGCCATTTTGACATGTGGGGTCTCATGGAAGAAAATGAACCCTGAAACCTTTTGAAACCTCCTGGAACCAAGGGGCCATTCTGACACTGAGGAACCTCATGGACTTAAGGGCCAGCTGATGGTGCTCCCTGCCACTGAGCACCTCCCACAGACGCTCCTGTGTGGCCATGGAGGGTGCTCAGAGGGGCCCTGCCTTGTTCCAGAGCTGGGACATGGCTTGGGGGGCTGCTCTTGATTCACCTGTGCAAGTTCACTGAGGGGAAGGGAAGTCCCGAGCAAGAGTTTTCCCTGTACCTACTGTGTCCAGTGGGATTGCAGAGCTCTCTTTTCCACTTCCCAGCAAGATTTAGTACTTTCTGTCTGGGTGACTCCACCCTGGGAGGATTCTGCTCCAGGGCTCCAGTCACTGCTGACTGGATGGGACGGGCTGTCCCTGCAGATCCTCTGTGCTCTCCTGCACTTCCTCATTTCCTACACACATCAGAGCCAGCACAAGCTGCAGAGCCCCAGGCAGGTGACCTGGAGATCCTTTGTCATCTCCATTGCCCACTGGCCACCAACACACAACATCTGAGCCAGCCCTCAGGCCCTGCAGTCCCAGTGGGTCCCTGCCCTCCCTGCACTGTCTGCATGGAGAAACAAGCAAAGCAACAAGACTTTGCAGAGTCTATTTCTTTCTTACACTCAGGGATTGTGATTCCTCATGTACAAACTATCACAGGCAGGATGTTTGACAAATACCTGCGATGGTGGATTGGAAAAGGGGGCTCCAAGACCTGGGGTTTTTAACCCATTACCTGGAGGGGAAAAAGCTTTCCCTCTGCCCCCAACCATGTGGTCCCAGGAGCCTGAAAAGGCTCACAGAGACCACAAGAGAGGGCGAGTGAGAGAGAGATTTATTGTATGGTTAGGGATAAATGTAGGTTTTGGGGGGATTACAAAATAGTCAATTAAAAGTTCAGGGGGTCTTACAGAAACACCACTGGTAATAAAGGGTTAACAACCAGTAGAAAGGAGTAGATGAAAGCCAAAGAGAAAACTACCTGATATCTCCTTGGACATTCCTGAATAGAGATAATGCTGGGCGATTTTAAGAAGATGAAAGTGAGTTAGCAAAAATACTACAAAAAGCCATTTTGAAAACATGTTCACTTAAACAACATTAAAAACCTCTGGTTTTAAGACATTTAGCCTGGTTTCTTGATTTTCTTCACAAGTCCATTTCTGACAGGACTTTTTCATTTATATATATTGCAGGTCCATTGCAACAAAATACCTTGCTGCACAAATTTTTATTTAGATTAAATGCACACAGAGCAAGATTCCTAGTTAGTACATTTTGTGGGTCAAAAAAAAAGAGAAAGTGAATTATATATGGGATGAAGAATAAAATTTCAGTGTTAATGATGAGAACAGAGGGAAAAATCAGGAAAGCCCCCCACCCCCACCAATATCAAAGGTTTTAGAAGGCAGGTTGGGCCAAAATGTGCTACACAGTGACTGTTCTGCAGAAGAAAAGATGCAGGTTTTTCCTTCTGAAAAGCATCCAGACATCATTTTCCTTATGGCATCTTTGAGCTCCTGGTTCCTCAGGCTGTAGATGAGGGGGTTCAGTGCTGGAGGCCCCACCGAGTACAGAACTGACAGGGTCAGATCCAGGGATGGGGAGGAGATGAAGGGGGGTTTCAGGTAGGCAATGAATGAGGTGCTGATAAACAGGGAGACCACGGCCAGGTGAGGGAGGCACGTGGAAAAGGCTTTGTGCCGTCCCTGTTCAGAGGGGATCCTCAGCACAGCCCTGAAGATCTGCACATAGGAGAAAACAATGAAAATGAAACAACCAAACAGTAAACATGCACTAACTACAATGAGCGCAAGTTCCCAGAGGTAGCCTGAGTGTGAGCAAGAGAGCTTGAGGATGTGTGGGATTTCACAGAAGAACTGGCCCAGGGCATTGCCCTGGCACAGGGGCAGGGAAAATGTATTGGCTGTGTGCAGCAGAGCATTGAGAAACCCAGAGGCCCAGGCAGCTGCTGCCATGTGGGCACAAGCTCTGCTGCCCAGGAGGGTCCCGTAGTGCAGGGGTTTGCAGATGGCAACACAGTCGTCGTAGTACATGATGGTGAGGAGAGAAATACTCTGCTGAGATGCAAAAGGCAAAGAAAAAGGCCTGTGCAGCACATCCTTGTAGGAGATGGTTGTGGTGTTCCAGAGGGAGTTGTGCATGGCTTTGGGCACAGTGGTGCAGATGCAACCCAGGTCTGTGAGGGAGAGGTGGAGCAGGAAGAAGTCCCTGGGGGTGTGCAGGTGCTGGTCGCAGGCTGTGGGGCTGAGGATGAGGCCGTTGTCCAGGAGGGCAGCCAGGGAGATGCCCAGGAAGAGCCAGAAGTGCAGCAGCTGCAGCTCCTGCCTGTCTGCCAATGCCAGGAGGAGGAACGGGGGCGGGAGCTGGTGTTGGACATTTCTTCTCTCTGGGAACATTGGACTGCTGATGGATGGTATTGACAAGTTAGGGAAGACTTCTGTAAAGGAATCCCATGCTCTTTTCCAAATTACTCCAAATTCTTTCTTTTTCTTTGGGGGAACTTTGTTCATCTCCTTTCTGTGGGCTCAGTTCTGTGCAGCTGAGTGAGGGCAGGAACCTCACCTTGCCCATTGCTCTCAGCACGAAGCCTGGGGGTCTCTGAGGGACCAAAGTGCTGCTGTGCTCTGGTGCAGAGTCAGGAGAGCTGCTCTGCCCACATGTGATCTACTGCTCACCACACCGGTGCCCTGTGCTTATTGCACCTCTCCTATTACAGGATGATCACTCCTAAAGCATACCTGAAAAAAAAGTAGGTATTTGGAAGACTGCAATTTCAAAATTAATTTCTCCAAATTATTCTCTTTTCCTGTGCAGCTGAGCAGAGACAGATGCAGAGGGTGGTTCTGATTCTGCTGCCTGGAGCTGTCCCTGC